TAAACGGGGTTTCACCCGTTCAAATCATATAGGTGACTCGGGTGAATACAAAAATTTTAAATGATGCTCGCGAGAATCGAATATTAACTTCCTTCTTGGAGGTTTTTCTTCACCATACTGAGATTTTCTTATTAACTTAAACAATCCAGTTCCAAGTTGCATGGGCATTCCCATAATAATAGACTCACTAACGCCTTCTAGACAATCACGTTTACTATGTAACGCAGCATCAAAAAGATGATCCGTAGTCTTTTCGAATGAAGCTAACATCAAAACACTACTCTTCATGTTAGAAATACCAAACCGGTGAATCCCTAATACTTCTCCCTAAAATTTGTGTAAAAAAAAAAAAAAACTCTGTGATTTCTTGTATGCTGTAAAATAAATTACTTCTAAATAAACCATTAATATTATATACTTTCCTTATATGTCATAATATCACCAAGCAACATTACATGGCGTGGATCAATGCTCATTCCATGACGACCCATAGTATATTGAATCTCTTGAATAATTGTATTTCTATTAAATGAATATTTAATATAAAATTGATTTTATGTTTAGAAAAATTATAAAATTAAAAGGAAAAGAATCACAAATAATAAAGTTCTAAAATGTAATTCTGATGATGTTTAAAATTGCATACCTAGCAGCTTCTATTCCTAAAACTTTATTTACTTCATTAACGTTATTACTAGTTGTTTCCGTACCAAATATTCCTGTGAAATATATTTAATAAATTAAATATAACATATTTATTTTTACGCTAAATATTTGTTCAAAAATTGAATTTACCTTCAGTTGTCATTACTTCTCGAAGACCATAACCTTCAACAAGTAATTGCTTTTTGCCTGCTTTAGCTTCACTTATGACTGCTCTTGTCACAGTTTGAATACCCTGAAACATTTTATTAAAATATTAAAATAATAGAAAATGAAGGAATAAAGTCGTAATTAAGACTTTACCTTGATTATAACTTTTGGTAATGCCCGTTTCAAAATTTGTAATCGAAAATATAATTTATCCGGTTCCTGTCTTTTTGAACCATCTTTATCTGGTACATATACATCAATTTCATCATTGTTAATTACTCGAATTCCGTGCTAATAATAGTTTCATAAAGATGCAAATATTCAATGAAATAAAGGTTTAACTCTATATAAATTACATAATGAATATAATAAATTATAGGTCTTACAATTTCCAACTTCAACTTTCGGTCAGTTCTAATAGCTCGTGATATATCTTTAATGTTTGTTTCTAACTAAATATTATTCATATTAATATAGATATAGCGTAAACAATACAAAATATTTATTTGAAATTCAAATAAATAAACTTAAAAAGTTTTTATATACCTGAAGTTTTTGTATTGCATCTAAATCTAACTTAATAGCTAGGTAACAGGAATCACGTTCATAAATTTCATCAATATGTTTTGCAATCTATTTTAGTGTAAAAAATAAATTAAATTAAATGTTAATAAAAATGACTATGAATTTAAATATGAAACTCACATCTCCCAGGTAAGTTGTTTCTAATCGTCCTTTGACAATTCTAGCAGACTTTACATCAGAATCATTGACTAACTTGCAAGTAATAATTGGTGTACTGATCGTTTTCGAAGCATTTATGATTTCCTTTATACGCGGTACACCGAGAGTAATGTTCATAGAAGCAACACCAGCAAAATGAAAAGTTTTTAATGTCATTTGAGTACCAGGTTCACCAATAGATTGTGCGCCCAACGCACCAACGGCTGTTCCTATAAATTAATAATTATATATATGTTAATTCGGATACAATAAACTTATATTATATTGTAATAATGCAGATGAAATATGACGAACCTGGTTCAATCTTTGCTTTCACAAATTTCTTTAAGCAAATATTCAAAAATTTTCGAAGTTGTTTTTCAGTAATTTTAAGTTTATGATCCACGACCGCCTTAAAAGAAGCTTAAAATAATTAATTAAAAATATTAATAAAATTAATAGTATTTGTCAAATTGTGATAACGATGAATGCCATTTAACATACGAGAAACTATGGAACTATAATCAATATCACTATATTCATCGTTGGGTCTTTCATCAGCCCGTATTAATCCATAGGATTCACGTATCGATACAAGCTTTTCAACTAATTCTTGGCGAACAAACTTTTGCAAAGATTCTATATATGATGATGTACAAGATTTACGAAATTCATCGCTATCTAACACAAGGTCCGTAATTTCTTTTATTTCATATGGTAAAAGACCAGGATCGTTACCCCATGGCACAATATTCTAGAATATATAATGTTAAAATGTTTGTTCAGTTAAGACGTTACTACTATATTAAATTGATAATGTGCTATAACATACAATTGTATGCTGCAAATTACGTTTGAGATCGACTGGAAGAACTTCATCTTCTAAATAAGCTGGGTCTAATCCATCGTCGCCATAGTAAAATTGGACGAGCCCACCAGAAGAATTTCTCACTGACATATCGTAATGGATTGCAAGGTCCTCTAAAGCCTAATAAAAATAAATCATTAAAATGTAAACATAGAAAAAACTATAAATCGTAAAAAAATATAATTACTTTCATCAACTTCCTTTGCATATAACCAGTTTCTGCCGTCTTAACAGCAGTATCTACAAGACCTTCTCGACCAGATATGGCGTGAAACAGAAATTCAGTAGGAGTTAATCCACTATAAAAGCTATTTCTAACAAACCCGCGAGCAGCCGGAGTCTTTGCTGAAATATAATTCATGTAAATTTCCAATGAAAAAAAGTAACTAATCGACTAAAACTTACAGTGTTTAGGAAAATGTGGTAAAGAACGATCCTGAAATCCATCTGGAATTCGACTTCCACTAATAATCTGCTGACCAACACAAGCAACCATCTGAGACACATTAATTTTCGAACCTAAAAAATGTAAAAAAAATCAGCAAGAATATCGTATATTTGAAGTGCAAAACCAACGTACCTTTAGAACCACATGTCGCCATTATTAAAGGTGCATTGTGTTTATTTAATTCAGTCATGCAAATTTGACCAGCATCGTCACGAACCCTTGACAATATACCAGATATATGTGCCTATTAATCGGAAGTATCATATACACATTATTAATACAAACAAACGATAAGATGTCAAGAAAGAAAAGAAAGTAAATTAAATGACCAACCTCTAAAGTTTGTTCCTCATTACAACCTGGTTGATTTTCGAGTTTTCCTAATTTAGAACGTTCAATAAGATCATCACATGCTTTGTTTGCGTCTGCAATGAGTCTATCTTTTTTATCTCGTAATATTTCCCCAGGTTGCACATCATTAATTCCAATAGAGAAACCTCTGTTTGCTTTTGAAGAAGAAATAAATAAATAAAAGAGTTTAAACATCTTATTTAAAGAATTTGAATCCGAATAAATAAATATTTTACCTAACCATCGAGAGCACAATTTAGATAATCGATTCATTGCTTCAGCAGCTTGCTCAGCACCATAATCGCGAAGAATAGTATAAAATAATGAATGCTTATTTCCATCACCTACTAAGGATTTGTCTATAGCACCACACATTATTTCACTATTCTGAATAACGACATAACCATCATTTGGACACATATCTGGCGCTCTGCTTTCATTTTTTTCGAAAGATCTTCCTTTACTTTCGAGGTTGACTAAAACTGAAGAATTTTTATTTGGACGCATCAACACATTAAAAATTTGTTTACCCGTCCAAAGTCTCACTGGTTTAAATATTGCCGGTGGAGGAATATCAATGTGTAAGTCAGCATCTGCCATATATGAACAAATTTGCGTAAATTGGGCACGATTATAAAATACGTCTTTCTTAGTAATCAAATACGAAGAAGTTATAAAGTCCTGAATGGCAGCAATTATAGGGTCTCCATTTCTTGGCGTAACCAAGTTGTTCTTAACACCCATCAACTCTATTGCTTCAACACGTGCCTCTTCTGTTTGAGGGACATGAAGATTCATTTCATCACCATCAAAATCAGCGTTATAAGGCGTACACACACATTCGTTGAAACGAAATGTCCGCCATGGCTTGACACGAACCTAAAATTATAAAACGTATAATTAGATTACAAACAAAAAGGAGCGAAAATTTATTATTTACAAAATAAAAAAATATATATTACATAGTGTGCCATTATACTAAGCTTATGAAGAGAAGGTTGTCGGTTAAATAAGACCACATCACCGTCCCTTAAATGACGTTCTACTACATCGCCAATTTGTAGTTCAGCAGCCCACGCGTCTTTTGATGATTGTTCGGCATATTTAAGATATCTAATGTAAATTTATAAAAAAGATCAATTTTTATATTTCAAAGAAATAATCAAATATACATCATTACCTTTTCCCTCCAGACGTATTTTTCACAAAATTGGCACCAGGATGTACATCTGCACCATTCCTTATACACTTGCGTAATTTCTCAATATTATGTGCAAATACCCTTTCCGGATATGTCAAAATCTTTGCAACCAATTCAGGTACAGCAACCTAATAATACCAAATAAAATAATTAAATTTGTGAAAGCAAATTATATGATTTCTTTTGCATTAAAATATAAATTCAATAAAACGTGCCTCATCGATACGCAAATTTGGATCGGGAGATATTACTGTTCGACCTGAAAAGTCAACACGTTTTCCAGATAAATTACCACGAAATCTTCCTTGCTTTCCTTTTAATCGCTGACATAAACCTCTACTCGGTTTTGTACCCTGAAAGTGAAATCATATAATGATTTTAAATTAATTTGTAACATTCATTAAGTCGACTAAATGAATGATTTTGAAATTTACTGCCATGTTCCCAAGTCCTGGCATTTCACTATTAATATACATTGCAACAGTTAACTGCAAATAATCCCATTGTTCCTGTTGTTGACGAAATTAAAAAAAAAAAATTAACTTTAATATAAAAAAATATTCACACATAAAAAAAGTTGGCGCAATTAAAATTGTTCACGAAAAGTTTAAACCAAAAAAAGCGCATGATGAACAAGAAAATTTTAAAAATACCTTCGTTAATGCTTTAGAGTCCACACCGGAATTAAAAGCACATTTGCATAAAGCTCAAGAAGATTTGAATGCAATGAAAGTACTAGAACTATTTAAAAAAATATCTGATGAGGTGAGTTAATTAATTTTCCATGTATGTAATTGTATAAATTACATATATATATAATTATTTATATAAATGTTTAGGATTGTGAATTACTTGGATTGGACCCGCAAAACACGAGGCCAGAGCTTTTAATATGGCAACGAATTCCAGTACCACCTGTCGCAATACGTCCTTCAATTGCTCAGGATAATGCAAGGTTGATATAGATTTTAATATGCAATAGTTACTGTTTATTTTTTATAGTCATTGTTATGTAACATGTATTATTTTTTATAGTCATTGTTATGTAACTGCATTATTATTTTCAACCTCCATTTTTTATTTTTTAGTTTTTATTCCAAATTCTCTTACTATTGCAATAATTAAGTTGATTCCTTATTATTTAATATTTATAGCACAGAAGATGATTTAACTGTGAAATTATCTGAAATTGTCCAAACAAACACTAATATTGCTGCGGCTTTGAGCAAAGGGATCACTATATCACAATTAGTAGTATGTTGATTTTTTTTTTTTTTTTTTTTTTTTTTTTTTTTTTTTTTTTTTTTTTTTTTTTTTTTTTTTTTTTTTTTTTTTT